TGTACAGGACAAATGTTTTACTTTTATTTGAAGTTAGATTAAAAAGGCACCAAAACATTTGACAACTCTGCTCCACAAGATGCTTTAAGTAAAAATAAAGAGAAAAAATTAGGGCAAAACCAAAGCATTTGGAAGCCTACGAGAGGAATTCTGAATGAATGTAATCATCAAAGAGTAGGTGAACATTATTTTGCAAGGAAGTCAAAATGATATGATGAGTAGTTTGCTAGCTTCGAAGATCACAAAAGTGAGCAGAGCATTTGGCTTCTGGAGGCTCATCCCAGGCTGGGGCACTTGGGCCTCAAGATTCCACGGTGGGCTGTGCTTTGTGCCCTGGCCTGGCCTCCAACCTCAGGGTCTCAGACACCCCCCTGTTCCCCAGAGGATCTCTCTGCTTCTCCTGAAGGAGCAGTGATAATGCTCAGGACAAAAGCTTACCAAAGTCTCAGCTTCAGACTATCAATGACTGAGCGAATCAAGAAACGCAAACACACGGATGGGTGAGAGGGCCCATGACACTGGCAGCCATTTGTTTAAGCTGCATCGTCCAGGGTCTCCTACTGCCCTTGGGGCCCTCTGAGAGGCTTTCCCCGTGGGGAGTTATTTCTTTGAAGAAAACCTCCATAAACATTTAAGAACTAAAAGACATTTCACAATTAATGAGCATTACACCTTGAAATGCATGTTGAAGAATATAAGAAATTTCTTGTGTGACTGCCTATATACTCAGAAGGGCTATTTGAGTATATTCTGAGAGAATAAAAACTTGCAAATCTAAGCCTAAAAGGATAATCAGCAATTTGGCAAAACTTTGCCAATTTGGCAAAATGTATGCAAAAGCATACATTTTAAATCTCATTAAAAAAATCCATACTATTATGAAAAAGTCCCATTAAACAAAATTAATGAACACAGCAATAAAATGAGAAATCGAGCTATTTCCAGAGATGAAAGAAAACACAGTTTCCTTAAAGCTGACTGTAACTCTGCTTCTGGAACCAGTCAGGAGCTTGGAAAGGCCAGGGCGCTTGGCCCATGGGGACAGAGCACTCCAGGCGGGTCTGGGGTTCTCCAGGGGAGGTCAGACACTGGGTAGGTTCTATTTCTTCAAAGACAAAATTATTACAAAATGTGATAAGACACAGTGCTCACTCTAAAGTGAACCTATGGGAAATATGCAAAAAACCCAGAGCTAATTTGAAAACAAAATGCATTTACTACCACAGCTGGAACACACACACTGCCTCTCTCTTCCTGCTGGCACTTTGGTGAGGCCGGTACTGACTGGGTCACAGGCTGAGGGAGCAGAATCTGGAAGGAGCCCTGGAGAGCTGTAACACACAAATGTTATAGGTACCGACTGGGGCCTCAGTTTCCTTAAATGATTGCCCAGCATCACATGGCAAATTAGTATAGAGCTGGGACCAGAACACAGAACCAGGACTCTGATCCTTGTGCAGCATGCTGCCCACGCTTCCATACATTTTTCCCGGAATCTTTAAGCATTAGAAATTTATGCTCAATAATCCAAATCAATGTTTTCAAAGTCACAAATGTATGCCTAAAAGATATTAACTTATGTTCAAAATGACATAACTTTTATATGATATTTTGGTATTACTTTTCTTTAACTTGTTCTTTTTTCCTTCCAATACATGTAAGCTTCAAGGAAGGCTTCCTTAACCTTCATTTCATGGTGTCTTCACTCTCATAAGTGGACGCCCTCAAAGCTCTCTTCAAATGCAGGACTTGTTGACGCTGGTGTACTGTTCTATGTGACTGATAAACAGGATAAAGACCGGGAAGGAGTAGGTGCCAGTCCACTGGGATTATGGGGAAACAAAATATTAATGTTGTCATAAATATTTTCAGATAAACAGAATTCAGATAAAAACGTATCTGCTAATCTCTGGCTGGTCAAATTGGTTCTGTTCATTTAGCATTTGTTGATCATCCATTTCAAAGTGTCCTGAATATGTACTAAACGAGGAGCCAGGACTTGCAGCTGGGCACATGGGTGATCCTGGCTTTCAAAGTCACCCAGGGGAAGCTCTGACATGGAAGGTTCTGGATGCTGGTGACGAGCTGGTATGCACTGAGTGTCAGTGGCAGTTGGGCCCTTTGTACACCTCAGGCAGTCCCCTCAACAATCCTGGGAAGGAGGCAACGTCTACAGTTTTCAGGGTGGCACCTGAGCCCAGGGAGGAGGAAGCTGGAGTTAGAATCAGGTTTGTTGACCCCAAAGTCAGCGCTCTACCCGCTGCAGCAGTGGGCTGGCCTCCAGGAGGCAGTGAGGGCACGATGCAGAGCAGCCACCTGTGGGAGAAGAGGCAGATCTTCCAGGAGGTTCTAAAAAAGACCTGGGGCTACTATACAAGCATCCAGCTCACAGATGCTCTCCTTCCCCGCCCCCACCATCACTAGGGCACAGTCATCTCAACCTCTTTCCCTTTTCGGGAGGTTTTCCCTTTAATGCTGCCCTTATCATAGACGCATAGAATTAATTACCTGCAATTCGAGGATTCTCATCTGGTTCTACCTTTGTAATAACATGGCTGGTAACCTGCCTTGCTCTCGCCCTGCTTTGGCCGCGGGTTAGCCTCTCCATTCTGCTCACACACCCCAAGCACATCACACAGTGGTGACCTGGAGCCACCCTGCAGGCAAGACTGTCCAGGGAATGTGGGGAGACTGGAGACTGACAAGAATTCTTCTGGTTTCCAAACACCAGGGAAGAATGTAGATTCCATAAAATAGAAGTTAGAATGTTATATATAAAATAAATCCAGATCTTAGAATAGATTACTAAAGAGTGTCATTCTATGCAGTACCATCCAGTAGAACATTCTGAGATGCTGGGACTATCTGCACTTTGTCTGCACTGTCCTGTATGGCAGCCACTAGCCATATGTGGATACTGAGTGCTTGAAATGTGGCTAGTGTGACTGAGGAGCCGAGTTTTAAATTCAATTTAATCAATTTAACTTTAAATAGCCACAGGTAGCTAGTGGCTAATGTATTAGACAGCACAGCTCTATGCATCTAGATTTCAGCAAGACATGTGACAAGATCTTATGCAGTCCTGTGGACAGTGGACAGAAACGTGGGCTGGCTGATACCACAGTTAGATGTACTCAAAACTGGTTTGAACAGCCAGTTCTGAGTGGTGATTAACAGAACCATGAGAACCTGAAAGAGATCTTGAACGAGGTGCTGAAGGATTCTGGGCTTACTCTGGCTTATTTTTCCCCATGATTTGAATAAGAGCTCTTGATGGCAGGCTAAGCCAACGTGTAGCTAAAAAGCTTCTAGAGACTGCCACCATACTGGAAGAAAGAGTCAGAATCCCCAAATCCTGACAGGCTGCAGTTATGAGCTGAAAGTGAGGAAGTGAAATGCAGCACTGACAAACTAACGGTCCTACACAGGGTCAGACAATCCAGCTGTGCTAGGCCAGTATGCTGAGGCCAGTATGCAGTCTTAACAGCTGCGCACATTAGGGGCTCTGACAACTCAGGGCGTAACCACAGGATGGTGTGCATGACCAAAAAGCAAATGGGACTTGGATTGGTTGATCAGAGGAGGGTCAGTGATGGATGATCAGATCAAACCTGAAGTCTAGAAGACACATCTAGGTGAAGGACCAACCCCTGGGGGCTCAGGGAGGGAACCAGAGCTACTTCACCTGGAGAAAAGGAAAAGGATGAGATATGTATTCATGTTCAAACACCATCACATGGAAGATGACTTGCTCAATTATTCACGGACCTACAAGTGAAAATTAGAGTGGAGATGGAAGCTTTAAGGGACACACTTTGGCTTGACATAGGTAGAACAGTCTAACGACCTGAAGGATCTTGGTGTGGGTGGGAGGTCTCTGGAGGAACAGTGTGCCTCTACTACTGATCAACCAGAGGCTGAACACTGGGAAGGGGTGTAGAGGAGACTCAAGGCTCCAAGGGACAGCAGGAGCGTCATGTGGCTGCTCAGGCCCCGACCCTGGAGTTCTGTGGCTCCACAAGCAGGCTGCCATCTTCCTGTAGGTATCAAAAGTGGAGGCCCACATGCAATGTGGGCAATAAGCTCCTTAGTCCCAAAGGAGACCTCAGTCCTCACACGTCCAGACCCTTGAACTGTGCTCCCACTGGGGGAAGGTCACCTGGTCACTCCATTCAGTTCAGAAAAGGAAACTCCTTCCTTTAGATAGCAAATTTATCAATTAATAACCCAAGGGGAAGTGGAGGTAAGGCATCTGGGTAATTTACTCCCAAGGGAATAACCCTCTGCAGAATCCCTCTCTGGGGTCCACCATCTGCAGTGAGCCGGGCCCTGCATGCAGCTCACCCTGTGAGAGGAGGATGGAGTGGGTGAATTAACTGTGAAGGGATTCTGAGTCCCACCTGTGTCCAGAGAGGACAGGGGTTAGCCAGGGGGTTGCCAAAGACTCTTCAGGGGTACAGTTTGGTGAAAGTGTCTGGGGTTATTGTATAGGCCAACCTCCAATGTTTAGGAGCCAGAGATAGCAGATGAGAGGCTCCCAAATACTCTGTATTTGTTGTTGCGAGAGAAAAAGTTGAGTGGGTTGGAATTTTCTCTATCTTAAGACTTTCCCAATTCTTAAACTTCAGAAAAGATACCCGTGGCCAGTCAGTGAATATCCTCATTAGAATCATTCTTATATATAATTCCATCTCCTACAGAGGAAAAAAATAAGGCCCAGAAAATACTTTATAATTTCTCTTCATTAAACTGATCACAAAAATAATAGCATTTCAGAGATTTGTTTTTCTTCAGTTTGACCTACGTCTTGGATTTTAAATACTAACATGCTAACTACTGAATCGTTTTCACAGTGCTTATCGAAGGCAGCAGATGGACAGCAACACTGTCATCTTTGGGCTGTAATGTGCAAACCTTCCCAAGAGCCTAGATCTACAGCTGTGGATTTTATGGTTATGTGGGGAAACAGGCGACACAATTACGGAGGGAAACGGATAAGCAGAGTGCCATTATTTTGATTTATTGCATTGTGAAGTACCAGCGAGGAGGGCCTGAGAACAAGTCCGCTTTATCAGCAGTTCTAAAGCCTTATTACCTGAGATTTGCATTCTGGAAAAGGAAAAATCAAGACTATCAATACATACATCATATGAGATTTGGGTTTTGGCTGTGATAGAACTTGTACTAACCTGAAAAAGGCTATGTGAGATTAAAGAGAGAAACCAGCTAGACACCAAATCCCGGTGAGAGACATGGATTTAACCCGAGTGCCACATACTTTAGCATAACACCTCCCTGGGGGGTGATGAGGAACGGGTGAGACATTTGAGGGCAGGCTGCTCAAGGCCACCAGCTTCGGCGTTCCTGGAAGGCCCAGACCTGGGTTGGCAGTTGTCTGTCATCCGCTCCCTTTCACTTCTCATCGTCGCGCCCATAGTTAATTGTTTGTAAGGCCCGAGCTATGAGCGTCGCCATTTCCCGGGTGCCGGCAGCAACCACTCTGCAGGACATGAGGTCGAGAGGTCCGCCTGAGGACAGAGAAGGGGAGAGGGCACCTGGGTTACTGGAGAGGGAGGAACAATCCCGAATAACTCAGCACACGCACATTCCAAGGAAAATAGAGCTCAGGCCGAGCTCGAGGCTGGACCAGAATGTGGTCTAGCCATGAGCCTGGTCAGAGGGGTGAGCCCCTTCAGCTTCTGCTCTGCCCCAGTATGAGTGCAGTCGAAGCCGCACAGAACCAGTGCCACCTTGAGGCTGTGCTGGGAGAACGTAGTTTAAGGTTCAGGACTGAGATTCAAATATCAGTTAGACCAGGAGAGGGGAGGGCAGTTCTCAAACTCTGCACTGCATGGTGGCATGGGGGACCCCATAAGACAGAGATCCTGACTCAACAGGTCTGGTGGGGCCTGGGAGTCGGCCTTTCTGATCAGCTCCTGGTGACCTGGTGCAGCTGCTCTGGTGCCCTGGTAGCTGAGGGTGGGGGAGGGGATGAAGCCCCAAGTTCTCCTGGGGGTGTAAACAGGACTAATCGCCTTGCTGGAGCCCTCCGTGCACACAAACGTGCTCGCGTGGTCATAGCCACTGTCGGACACGTTTTTAAAGGGAAACTGGCCTTGCCACCCAAGGCTGATACCTCTTCATTTTTATACCTTTCTAGTAGCTCAGTTAAGGCCTTTCAGAGGAGAAAGAGGAAAAAAGTAGAAATCAAATGACAGAAGACCCACTGAACATCCCCAGTAGTTAAAAGGGAGCCACAGTGGTTACAATAACAAGCTTGGGACTAAAAAGCTAGGAGAGAATGCAACCTAAAAGGATTCACCCAGTCTCTGACTCTTGTTCCTAAACGTCAGATGAGTGGTCAGCCTGAAGCTAGGTGGATACAACCGGAGACAGAGATGCTACGGGATTCGCCCCCCTGGGGTCAGTCACTGGGGCGCAATGCTCTTGAAGCAGAAGAACAGGTCACCTTTCGGATCCATTCTCCTAAAAACTTCATTGTAGATTGGGGAGCACACCCCTGCTCTACCTCTCTCATCGGATTTTGTGGGGACAAAAACGTGTGTGCTTAGAAAACTTTCAAATGTTATATAAAGTAAAGTGGTGCTGCTGTTACTATCCGGTCATATATCCTGATCTTAGGGTCTATTTTCACGCCTTGAGGCCTAGAACAGGAAGGCAGGAAGGGTAGGAGGGAGATGTCTGGCACTGGCACACTGCTTTTCTGATACCCTTGCGTGGTCTCTCATCAGTAGAGACTCCAAGGAAGTGGGGGAGATTCAGTCTGGTGGCATCACTAGGTCTTGTCTCTGCTGTTGTACCCCTGGGGATGGAGGGTGGGCCAAAGGTGAGAGGGGCTCACCTGAAGTATCCATCACGATGCCACCTGCTTCTCTGATGATGACCGTGGCAGCAGCCAGGTCCCAGCAGTGCAGGCCAAACTGGTAATAGGCATCTGCGGCCCCTGAGGCCAGGTGGCAGAGTGCCAGGGTGGAGCTCCCAATCACTCGGACCCTGAGAGGAGAGGGAAGAGAGTAAATGCACGTGTGAGTGGCACCACGCACAAGTTGGATTTCTCTTAAATGGCGTGCACACTGACTTCATTCAAAGTCACCCCCTCTGCTGGGCATTCCCAATAATTAAAAATGAGCCACAGGACTTCTACCAGCAAGCTCAAGATTCTGACTCTACTGTCCAGAGCAGCGCTGTCCAATAGAACTTTCTGCAATAATGGAAACATTCAGCACTGTGGTAGCTACTAGCCACCTGCGGACACTGGGCACTTGAAATGTGGCTAGTGCAACTGAAGTCAATTTTAACTCTATTGGACTCCAACTACCTTAAATTTAAATCGCCTCATGTGGCTAATAGTTACGGCACAGACCTAGAGGGAGGATGGGAGATGAAGAGGATTCACCTGGACTTGGGTTGTTTTCCCCAAGTGGCTATGGAGTCATATCATTTCTGAAGGGCTCTAAGCACACACAAGATTTGCTGGCTGGGTGGTTTGAGATCAGTTCCTTGGCTTCTCAAAGTGCTGCTTAGAAAGGAACAAAGGTCCCCTGTCCATTTCCTAACAGCTGGCTGTACGAGCTATCCTACTGGACGACGAAGCATCACGCGCTCCCTGGGCCTCAGCATGGAGAGCAATGTGCTCCTTCTGCTCCTATCACATGGGAGATCTCTTCCTCTTTCAGTCCCTGGGGAGCTGTGAGCAAGATCTGTGTGTCTGGCACACTCCTTTGGCCCCAGGTTTTCCAGGAACTGAAGTTCGTACCCATGAGCTTTGGCGTGGAGTAACCTCTCCATGTTGCTCAGGAACAATTTCAGAGTAGCAGGGTCACGTTTGGGACCAATTTCTGTTAGAACCAAGGCCTTTGAGAGATCTGCAATAGAAAGAATTTCCCAAAATCAGAAAAATCAAGTCTTGGTTCTAACTGAATAGTCGGGGTTTTCCCTGAAGCAAACTTCAAATATCAGCCTCTCATTCCTTCTCAGAATAAGTATCCTCTTTTGAGTGGTTTAGGCTATAAGGTTTTTCTGATGGCTATGTTGAAAAGGGAAGGATGTAGTGAAGAGAGAAACAAAATTCACACTCTAACTCCATTTCATCATCATCCCTTTAAAGCCATCTTCTGTTTCAGATTGCAGAGGGAGCAGATTTTTCAGTTCTCTCTCTTTTCAGGGACACTTAGCACAAAGAACTTGGAAAAGTTGGTAGCTTATGAAAATCACTATTATAGGGGATCAGCACTGGCCACCTCAAAATATGTCTCTTTGCCTTCATTATTTTTAAGAAGAAAAGACTCTGAAAGAAACTTTGACCTCCTCCCCACTATCTATCTAAAAGAAATTTAAGATAGAAGGCCTGTCCCCAGGACAGGCCCTCACCATAGATAACTCTGTGTATTGATAGACTGGGAGGGTCCATGCTAAGCCCATTCTTATCAAAGCTCTGAAAACCAAGTAAAAGTAGAGGTTATCCTCTGTAAGAGACATTTACATTTGTAAGGGAAATCTCCGTTTGTAAAGGTTATCTCCCTCTCTGTACCAGGAAGAAGGGGGGATGACCTTATCTCTAGAGACTCTTGATCACAGTGCAGGAAGGCAAGGACTTAAATCTGCATAACAACCTTACTCTTGTTTACTGTGCTTTTCTCGTATTCTCCCATAACTGACTCCCCCCACACCCAACATCCTCCTTTGTCTTTAGCCGAAGATGGTATTTAAGATGAGAGCCTCCACAATTTTGTTGAGTTACCCATTTTATTCCTGGGTATCTCCCACATATACATGATATAAAGCTTTGTTTGATTTTCTCCTGTTATTCTGTCTCATGTCATTTTAATTCAAAGCCCAGCTAGAAGGACCCAGAGTGGGTAGAGGATATGTCTTCCTCCCCTACATCATCATTCAATCACAAATAAAAACAAAATGACTCCAAGCTGCGAATGCCTACTCTTTGGAGAAAAAAAAAAAAAATGGCTCATCAAATAAATCTTTCTTTAAAAAACCTTTCTCTAACTGCTGTGATCACAAAGATGGAAATATCACCCTTGTGGAGAAAAGCAATTTTTAAATCATGTTGTTTTTGGAAAGGGAGTCTTCAGGTGTAAGCCCTGGCTGCATAGAGATGGCCAAGGCTGTATCTGTATGGCCACTGCAGCGTGAGCACAGGGTCCCTGCGATGGGAGTGCCAGGCTTCCTGCGCCAGCAGGGCGGCCCGTGGGCATGGGTGTGGGAGACATGACCGGGCTCCCTTCCTGTGCCTGACTCACTGGCGGGGGATCACAAGCACTTGTCCGTGCTTTGCCACACACCCAAACAACCAAATTTAGTGTGTCATGTCTCATCAGGCCTTGTTGCTCAGGCATGATCGGCCACACCAGGTGTGTTCAAATAACAGAACAAAGCCATTCCATGAATCAAGCAGAGGGAAAAACACGCCACAAGGTATTTCACCAAATGGGCCCAATCCCAAGTCGACATCTGCAAAGTCACCTCTCATGGGGGACCAGATGACCGTGAGAAGTCAATCTCCTCTCAGACAGAATCTATATCCATTTTCCCCTTTTCCTATATTGGAGGCTCTCATTTAAACTTTAAACATTTCCTGAAAACCGCTTGGCTCCATGCCAAGGGCCCCTGTCTTCCGGAGGTTGAATCATTCATTCCTCACCAGGCACACCCAGCACCAAAGCTGAGCTGATGACGTGCCTACTGCATGTCTGGGGTGGCTACACGGGGCTCTGCCCACAACAACAGACGAGGGGGCCCGTGGCTCCAGGATCTCCATGGACAGGGCCCAGCTGACCCCACCTCACTGGGCTGCAAACTGAGACAGTACTTCCCAGGGGAAAAAAAGACTTCTTTTGAAGAAAAAGACATCAACAGGGCCAGGTGCAGCAGGCACTCAATAAACTGAGTGAATGAACACTTTCCCTCAAACACTGGCATTAAGGAAACATTGATAAGAGTCTTCTTGTTTGGGTTAATTTGTTAAATTAATAGTATTTTTAAATTTATGGGAGGAATTTTTGAGTTAAGTAGAATTTTGTTGGCTAGCCTAAGAATCTAATCACTATGTACATCACTATTTTCTGGGGGTAAATGAACTCTGAATGATAAATATTTTAGTCAAAAATGCTCTTTTGAAAGATAACATATTGTAATTCGGGGAGTGCCTGTTAAACTAAAATTTAAAAGCAAATGGATGGTACATGTTATTTTAGCCAGGGAAGATCAGGAAGGACGAGCTGTCCCAGAGGAGGCCACGGAGGAAAGCGCAGGGAAGCACCAGTGGCATCTTGCCTAATCCTACTGCTAATTCCCTTGTCTAACTTCAGGTCTTACATACACCCACATGTGTGCACAAACATCATATTTTTAAAAACAGTTTTACAGGTGATTCTGTAACTCACTCTTTTGACATAACAATATATCAAGCACACCTTTCACCATCCCTCCGTACTCACAAAGACGATTGTACTCAATGGAAGAAGTGCACTTGGTTTAACCATCCCCCATAGATGAACATTTCAATTCTTGTTATTATAAACAACGCTATCTTTTTTTCTATATAGGTTTGTGCAGCCATGTTGATATTGTTTTCAGGATAGATTAATAGAAGTGGGATTTCTGAATCAAAGAGTGTGCATGTTTTAGATTTTGATAATTTCTTCCAAATTGCCCTCCAAAAAAGCTGTATCAGTTTCACCACCATCCCCCTGCCCACTAGAGTATGATCTTGTACTATTTTCAAGTCCCTAATAGGTATCCCTTACTGCAGAATATATACTTTAAGACCGATTTTCTTTGAGAGCTAACATCAAGAGAATAACCCTTACATACTGAGCACTTCCTGGCTCCAGGATCTTAATCACCCTGGGAAGATATTAAGGAAGACCCTAAAGATTCCCCCCCTAGGAACTAGAAAGCCAGACAGTCAATTTCCATAGGAAGATAAGCACCTACTTGTAATCAGGTTCATAAGATGTAACTACTCGGATGTTAACTAGCTTATTGTGGTGATCATGTAACGATATATACAAATGTCAAATCATTATGTTGTATACCTGAAACCAATATAATGTTATATGTCAATTATACCTCAATAACAATAGTAAAAAAAGATGTGACTACTCCTTCAGGCCAAAGCCTAGCCCAATCTGTCCTGCTGCAGGAAGAACAGGGATTTTCAAACTAGATACCACAGGGCTATTTCACAAAGGAAAATCAAGCAAAGTGTGGAAACAGCAATTGCTCACATTTACCAAGCCTTACTCTCTCCAGATAGGCCTGTGCTAAGCACTTTCCATTTATGATTCCATTCCTCTATTACATTTATGATCCATTTATGGTTCTATTCCTCTACCACATTTATGATCCATGTATGATTCCATTCCTCTATTACATTCACTCTCTCACTGCCCTTGTTTCACAGATGGGGAAACCAAACCTAGAGAAGTGATCTGTATGAGGTTGTACAGCTTTTAAGCAGAGAGGCCCAGACTTAAACTCAAGCTTGTCTGGTGATTATGTGAAAGAAAGGGTTTCTTCCCATGGCTTTTTTTTTTTTTTTTTTTGGTGAGGAATTTGGCCCTGAGCTAACATCTGTTGCCAATCTTCCTCTTTTTGCTTGAGAAACATTGTCCCTGAGCTAAGATCTGTGCCAATCTTCCTCTATTTTGTATGTGGGACGCTGCAACAGCATGGCTTGATGACCGGTGTATAGATCCTTGCCCAGGATCTAAACCCGCAAAACCTGGGCCGCCAAAGCAGAGCACGTGAACTTAACCACTACACCACAGGGCCAGCCCCAATCTTCCCATAGCTTTTAAGTTTGTGAAAAGATACCTCTGTATCCAATACCTTCTTCTTCTAGCTGCACCATATCCATTCTTTCTCACCCTTGCTAATCTATTTTTTTTGCAAATGAAATCAAGAATAGAGTAAAAAGGAAGTCTGAGTGCTGCCACCTACAGGCAAATGCTTTCTACTGTTTTATTTTGCCCCAGATAAGGAAAAAAAGATAAAAATTACAATCCCCTCTACTTAATATCGTCTTATTATTTCCGACTAGTTATCCAGAATTACTATGACTTTTGCATTTTATTATTCTTTATCCGATATTTATTATAATATTTTAGCTCTTAATGAAACACTAATATATTTAATTTAAAATATTCTGTGATTCATGGGTGTGTGTGGGGGAATGGTGAATTATTGCCTAATGGGTACAGAGTTTCTATTTGGAGTGATAATTTTGGAAATAGTAGTAATGGTTGCACAACATTGTGAATGTCATTAATGTCACTGAATTGTACACTTAAAAATAGTTAAAATGGCAAGTTTTATGTTATATATATTTTACAACAATAAAAAAAACCCTAATGGATTTTAAAGTAGGGCATCTCTGTATACTCTTTCAATAAACAGATTTTGGGGTGAAAAAAACAATAGTCTGCTAATAGACTTCCAACAGTTTGAAAACCCTCTTTGTGGTTGAGCAAAGTTAAACACTCAGAGTATCAGAGTCGTGTTGTCTTAAGAGAAATTTTACAACTTAAAGGTAAGAGAAGCAAGTCATTTGTATCCACTGAAATATGTGCTCATGGAGAAAGAGGTGACTCTGCTTTACAGTCTGGAAAATACCCGCTATGAACACAGGCTGGTTTTGCGGAATGCAGAACCCTCGTGACAACATTTATACCAGCAGGTATTTTTATACATATGTCCTAATTCTTTCAGACTTCTTACAGACCGTTAAGAGCTATTCGTATGAAAATAAAATTTAACTTTATTTAACCTAAAAATATAGGTACTGGACAGAACAAAGGTTGGTGGTTGCTGGAGGGCTGGGGAGAGGGGGTGGGGGGCGAGCGCT